CTGCATAAGGTCATATGAGCGCGCGGGTCACATTAAACATTTTCAGTTGGTAGGAAATTTTACATTTTGCCCGGGTGGCGGCCGGAGCCTACTCTTATCGATTTTAGATCACCAAGGACCTGTGCTTTGACGTGGCAGGATGCAGTTTTCTCTCTGTCTCTCTGTTTGCCACAACTCTTTGTCCACACGCTTTTCACAACGCTCCAAGACACGCTGTTACGAAGAACACTGTACATACCTGCCGAAATCTACCGGTTTTCCCGATAGTTACCGATTTTGGAACCGTTTTGCCGCCGTACCGATTTGCGATAGGCGCCGAAAAGACAGTTGCTGAAGAAATATTTTGAGGAAATTCGTACTGAATGTTGAAAAATTCAAAATAAAATGCATATTATATGCATACCTATTAGACAAATAGAGCAGTTTTTTTCTCCCTCTAAAGGTGTTTGCTTTCTGGGCTTTGTAATTTCCGTTTATCTTAAAACCTCTGGACTTCCCTCATTTTGAGAATGTGTGTAAGAATGGATGATGTGAGCGGATAGAAGAGAAACCAAACGCACCCCTATAAACGAGATGATGGGTGTGGAAAAGAGACAAATACACACATATACGGGGCTCTCATGGTCTATAGTAGAGTTACGGTGTTCGCCTCTATTTCAAAAGGTCGAAAATTTCTTCTTTACATAAAAATGTTCTCCTCTCACCCTCCTCCCTGCTCTGTGACCAAATTTGTCGCTTGCGCTTTCTACCCCCTTCTCTGGGCCCATGACTCTTTCAGCTAACTTTCTACTGCTACTCTTTGGCTCTTTCAGCCACACTCCCCGATCTTTGGGTAGGAAAGATCTAACACCTAGCCTTCTCAGATTAGGACGAAAATATCTCAAAGGTCCCGTGTGCAAGCTGCGCTTGTTCAAGATCCTTTGGAGGTTCTAAAATGGACAAGAGTAGGCTTCGGCAAAATTCAAAATTAATTCCTGCCAAGCTGAAAATGCTAAATGTGTCTCGCGTGCTCGTAATGACCGTGTGCGGTTGCAAGCGCCGTAAAAAAAAATTACTCCCCTCCCCCCCCTCCCCCCAAAAAAAAGATCGCTCTGCACAGCTTCCAATCTCTAGTTTTATGGAAATCTGTACATTCCGAAAACCCCGTACGTTCCGCATCGTCATATCAACTCCATGCTGTATATTGGCTTATTGACATCCCGTCGTAGCAAAGGATCAATACTTGCCTCCGTAACTTCTCGGGTATTTACGGTTGCTCCCGGCAGTAAGTTGAATTTGAAACTGCTACATTGCGCATTTCGCTCACTCGACCCCCCCCCCCGTGCGGTTCGGTTGGCAATAGATTTTCACGTGTAAATCGGCTAAAATCTGGCTACTCACGATACGTAATCTCCCCCCATTCCTTTCATTCATTTATTCATTCTTTCATTCATTCTGTCTATCTTTGGGTTTTTGCTGTGGCTAGAAAATAAGGGCATTTATTTTATTTTAAAAAAACCCCAAACAGTATCAGAACAATACTTTCTCACGTCTGTCTAGACCTAGAGAGTTTCCTCAGAGAATGACTTCCTTTTCTAGACGACACACATACCAAGGTGGGTGTTTGGCGGGTGCTCTGGTGTGGTTTGCTCCTTCTTTCCTATCGAACATCTATCGTCCTTATCTCTCCTCCTTCTTTTTTGTGTTTGTTACTCTCTTTTAACACATCTATTCTTCGGCACTTATATGGCCTTATTGTGCTGCAAGTGCCGTAAAACTGTTACTAAAACTAAAAAACAATATCAAGGAAGAGGCCATGAGGATCAATAATTTTCATTGAAAGTGTTTCTTTATTCACAAAAATATTCCACCTCAAGTT